GCCCTGGGCAAATACATCTACAAGCTGAATGAGTCACTGTGCATTTCCTTTGCAAACTGCATCAGAGATCAAATTCCAGCCCAAAACAAGGGAAGGATTGACTCTCTCATTATTACATCTTTCCCCAACTGGGAGCTCTCTAGATGGGCCGTACACATAACAGGTCCTGCTTGATCCAAGCAGGAACCCCACCAGAAGGGACCTGTTCTCCAGTCCAAACTCCCGCTGGAGCCCAGAACTGCAGAGGACCACAACCTTTCCTAGCCCAACACCATCACAGCCTCACGCAGTAGCCAGAGTGCCAGAACAATTAAACCGAACCCCCTGAATTTCATGGCAGGTGGGAATACTTCCTGGCTCCTGGGAGAACTGCGTCATTCGCTCCTGACTGCCTTTCTAGGTCCCTCCCCAATCTGGCTGCTCCAGTTTGCCAAATGCCCCTTTTAACACACGGGGCCCAGGATGGGGCCCAGTAATCCAGGGGCAGCCACTGATTAGTACAGAATCACTGCTTCTCGCAAGGTGCTTACTTTGCACACCCTGATGCAGCCTAAAATGGCCTTTGCTTTTCTCGCAGGCAAGTTGTCCCTGGGCTCAAGTTTACTTTGCAGTGTGCAAGCTTCCATTTTTGAAATAAACAAATAAATAACCAAACAAACTTTAAAAACCAGATGGGCTATAAAACCTGGCAGCAACTTGGTGCCCTTCTTGGACCAGATGTCAGACTAGCCTCACTTTAAACTCCAGATTATTTATAACCACCAATAGCAGCAGGAATCCTTAGAAAAATCAAGTGCTGATTTCCTCCACTGCAGAGATGACCTGCGTACTCCTAGTTTTCCATTTCCTATCTTTTTAGATCATTGTCAACTAATGATTGGGCCCACAACTTAACAGTCTGTACTGAAGTGTGATTATCAAAACGCTCTTAGAGAAAACAATCAAGGACCAATGTTCAATTCTTAGTGGCATTTCCAGAAGACAGTTCTGTTGTCTTCCCAACTTTCCTGCAAATAATAATAATAATTTATTAAACTTGCATACGCTGCCCGACTCTCAACAACTCTGGGTGGCAATCAAACAAAGAAATTACAATAAAATCAAGGAAAAATCAAGGAAAAATAATGAAAAAATTCTGGTACCACAAAGGCTAAATAAAGGAGGAAATAAAACCTGGTCCCTATGGATTTTTTTTAAAAAAGGAAAGCTTATTACTACCAAAATTTCTGCCCAAAACCAACATTCTCCCCCCACCCTACACCCCGCGCACTTCTACTGATATCATTTAAAACAATCTGACCCACCCAGCTGCCCTCCAAAGGCATCAAGCTTGCAAATTCTAAAACCTATTTTGGCCACAGAGTCTACCGATCCTGGCGACGGCAACTCAACGTTTTCAGAGCAAATCAAGCAAATGAAAAAAAAAAAAAAGTCTCCTAAACCTGAAGCACCATGGTGATTGTTTGGATCCATTATTTCTGGGCATATCAGAAAAAGGGGAATGAACCAGGTATTAGCTCCGAATCTGTCTGAAGGACAAATATCGCCCTGTAAGTCTGCTTGGCCTTGTTTTCCCATCCTGTGAGCAATCTGCACCGAATCCTATTAAAGCCTAAACCTACTTCTTCTCACAAATGCATCTGCCCCAAACCCGTGCTTGGATGCGGGCGCTGGGACCCAAGCCCTGCCTTCAGAGAAGAATGACGGCAAGTGACGGGCAAGTGTTCAGCTCCCTTGGAACAAGGACAGCGTCAAGCTGCAGATCAGGAGAGGGCACGGGGGTCCCGATGGCAGAGATGGGGGGTGTGTGTGCCAGGAATCCTGCTTGGGAAGGGGCACCCGCCCCACCTCGCCGGACGGTCCCCAATGCCAAGAACGGCTGGCGCGGCGGGGAGTCCCCCGGGCCCCTAAGCAGCCCGGGGGCCACCCGGGCTGCCTTGGCACGGACGAGCCCAGTCTGCTTTCCGCAAGGACCGCAGCGAGCCCCGCTGCCCGGGCCCCCGACATCCGACCCGGG